AAATTGCTCAATCTAAGGTAATAAAAACATAACGGTTCATTAAGTAAGGTCTTTATACACCTCTGAAAACATAGTTGTGTATATTATATTGCATTTCTGTCAATAGATCGATGTAAATATTACACATTGCACCTTTAAAATATAATTTATTTCTGTGACGTGAAGTTGAATTTTCAGCATTACTACTCCAGTCTTCAGTGTCACATGATTTTTCAGAAATCATTCTTACAGGATGAACTTCTCTTCATCTGTGGATAAAACTCACGCTTTCATGAAAGCTTTACCTGTTCGCATGAGGTTACTGCTCAGAGTTTCTTCTTCAATTGAAATAAGCCTGAAAGAGAAGATATGATATGAGCGATTAGAGGTTTATACACGTACAGACTACAATAAATGAGGATAGAACAGCTCCTACGTTTCATCTGTATTCTGACTCGTCTCCTCGTCTTCTGCTTTTGCCTTCGTTTTCTTCTTTACTTTTTTCTTTGCAGCTTGATCTGAAGCCTGGAGTATCAGACACAACAGATTTGTTGGACGTGCATTATAATATCACTGCTTGTGTGTCTAAATGATGAAAGATGGGTGAGTGTTTAATAAATGTAAGAGTCATTATTTTATCACAGGTCTGAAACAAAAGCCTATTTTGGGATGATTAATCAATAAGCAGCAGGTTCCTGTTGTGACAACTTGCCCCATATCATGTGAAGACATTTCTCTACTATTGACAATATCAAGAGGATATTCTACATCCAAACCTCGCTCTGTAGCACACACTACTATTCAAAAGAGTGGGGCTGCTGAGAGTCTCTTATTCTGACCAAGGATACGTTTATTTGATCGAAAATATGGTAAAACCTGTGAAATATTATTACGATTTAAAATAACTGTTTACTAGTTTTATATGTTTTAAAGGGGTCATATATGATGCGATTTCAAGAAGCGTTTGAGAGAGGCGGGGCATAGAGGACCTACAATAATGAAAGTGTGAAAGTGAAAGTGAAGTGACATGTGGCCAAGTATAGTGCTCTGCATTTACCCATCCAAAGTGCACACACACAGCAGGGAACACACACACCGTGAACACACACCCGGAGCAGTGGGCAGCCATTTATGCTG